CGCCAGCTGTCTATAAATTGTAACAGATCAAATTCTTTTTTTCTGAAAAAGATGATGATACAACATATCTCACTGTTGTAAAGATTCTTGTGCATGAAAAATCTAAAAAAAAAAAAAAAAAAAAAAAAAAAAAAAAAAAAAGTCCCAACAATCCGAGAATAAAGAAGGATAAGAATCAAACTATCATGTTTACATAGTTATATTTTTGGATGTCAAAAAGTTCTAATATTTTATTTTAAAATAAAATATGTAATATCCTATTCTCATAACAAGTTTTTGAAGAAAAATTGAGTGTGAACTTTTGTAGGCATACAGTAAAGTTATATTTGTCAGTGTTTGAAAAGAACATATTGATTTGCTGCTGGCAATTTTTATTGAAACTGAAGACTAATAATCGTTAATTTTTTTTTATAAAACTTCCTTAGTGTATTATTCAATTAACATTTGATTTAAATGATAAAGAAGAAGTCACTTGTGATTAAAAACAAAATGTGCATATTTTTTTTCGCCAGTCCCCCCGATCTTAGTTTTGATGGAAATTTCTAAAATGTCATGGCATTGAACCCGGTGTTAAAAAAAAGAATTAATCACTATTTGGAATTGAATGGGAATGAAATACAGGAATCAATTCAAGGGTGGGAGCACAGCCTTACGGAAATTCTTGACAATCAAAAAGAAAAAAAGGTCATCATATATCATTTATGTTATGGGTCACAACCGTTTTTATTGTGACGTAGTATACAGGGGTAACCCCCCCCCCCCCCCCTTGCGAGTATCTACGGATAGAATATAATCGTATAACATGTGATAATATATATATATATATATATATATATATATATATATATATATATATATATATATATATATATATATATATATATATATATATATATATATATATATATATATATATATTTATTTATTTATTTATTTATTTATGTATAGGAAGACCATTAGTAAGTTGATGTGATAAATGTATAAGTAAAATGTCCATATTCGATCCCTTTATCCTTGATTGAAATGGAAACATAGCACCCGAAGTGCAATACTCTGTATGTACATGTATATACGTATCATTACATCCCTCGCATTGACATAAATAAATCGCATATCTACATAATTATATCACTTTTGACATAAATACGTACGTCGCATTTCTACATAATTATATCGCATGTTGACAAAAATAAGTCGCATGTCTACATAATTATGTTCCATCTTGCATGTATGTCAGATACTGGTGTTAGTAAGTAAATTTAGCCATATTAAAATCAATTTCTCTAAAAAGATTGGTTCTTGAATGTCAATGCAGTTTTCATGCATGCTGACATGCATGTTGACATAGTTTACCTTGCTTGTATGGGGCAGAAATATGCCGCCATAGTTTATTGTTGTTTTTGTGTTGGGGCAATTATGCGTGTTTTAACATATTTAGAGCACTTGCAATTGTTTCTCTTGAGAGTTTCAATTGTAGTAAAACAACATTAAAAATAACTAGTATTAATTGTAACGGGGACCGTTACAGATGTTCCCCAAACGCTCCCCAACTCCCTTTTGGTGTCTTATTTCTTGTAAGCTTCATTAAATAAGGCAATTAAGTATATTGGTCATTTAACGCATTTCACGCGCGCGCACGTGCATGCATGTGCAGGTTGACAATGTCATTCCGTCTATACTATAAATGCATCTTTATATTCTCAGTATCAAAACATTTCATCAAAAAATATATAAGTTCCGACTATATCAAGTATATTGGTCATCTTAGCATTGCGCGCATGCGCACCTGTATGCATGTTCATAATGACCATGCCATTTTGTCTACACTTATAATATGTCTGTTTGTTCTTAGTATCAAAGCTTTTCATCAAAAAATATAAAAGTTACGGCTATATTAAGTATATTGGTCATTAAACACATTGCACGCGCGCGCATGTGCATGCATGTGCATGATGGCCACATCATCTTGTCTACACTTTTAATATATCTGTATATTTTTAATATCAAAGCTTTTCATCAAAAAATATAAAAAGTACGGCTATATTAAGTAAATTGGTCATTTAACACATTGCACGCGCGCGCACGTGCATGCATATGCATGCATGTGCATGATCATCATGTCGTCTTGTCTACACTTTAAATACATATAAATATTTTGAGTATCAAAGCATTTCATCAAAAAGTTTCAAAGTTACAACTATATCAAGTAAATTGGTCATTTTACGCTTTGCGCGTGCGCGCACGTGCATGCATGTGCATGTTGACCATGTCATCTTGTTCATACTTTTAATATATCCTTATATTCTGAGTATCAAAGCATTTTATCAAAAAATTTAAAAGTTACAGCTATTTCAAGTATATTGGTCATTTTACGCATTGCACGCGCACGCACGTGCATGCGCGTACGCGCAAAATGACCTTCGTTCCGCAAATCTACATAACATGCCTAGTAACCCTAAAAAGGTTTCACCTCAATCGGATGTGTAGTTTCGGAGATCACTCACGGACAAAAAAGTACCCAGGAAGAAAAATAATAATAACTAGAGCAAAGCTCGTTGCAAAGCAACGAGTAGGTCTTCCGTCCAAGTTTCAGAAGCACTGCTTGTAAGATGGATAAATGGAAGTAAAGTATACTTAAAAAGAAGGCTTCCAGACCAAAAATGATGTTTTCTGTATTTGGTTTTTTATGCTGATTTTCGTTAAATAAAGCAAATCAAGACTACTTCCGGTTTGACCGGAAGTGACTCCCAATCGACAAAAAATTGGGTCAAAAGTCTTGGTTGAATTCAATCATTTAATTTTTGTTGATATCTGCAGAAATACATCATTTATAGTCACTTCCGGTTTAAACGGAAGAGACAAAAGAGACGATACTCGACAGGAAATACAATCAGACGTCCTCTGTGACATGCATAATTCAATTCAATACAGTGCTCTATCCTATAAGTTGACAATCCTATCCTAGCTATCCTATCGTGAATCCTGCATCCACAATCCTATCCTGTCATTTCAGTCTAATCCTATCCTATCCTACATTGTATCCTGCTGCTCTCAGTTTTTTTTTTAATATTTATGAGTTAATTTGACAAAACGAAAAAAAAATTATAAAATGACCATCAAATAAAAATCAGTTATAGTTATGTAATTAATTTAGATATAATAAATTTTAATGGAGAAAAAAATAATCGAGATCGACTTCCATTAATTTCCGAAACCCCACATGAATTAATTTGCGAGTAAACAGTTAAAATGTAAACAAAAGAATTGTAATAAAATGTAGGCAAGTATTGATCTAGCGAACATGTGAAGAAATTGGAACTTCGGAAGAATTGAAGAAAAAAATATAGTAAAATTTTATTTGTGTTTAATTTTACATACTAACAATGATCGTCGCTCGCGTGGCGCAGTGGTTGGAGCATCTGCTCGAGAGTCGCGAAGTAAGGAGTTGATCCTTACGTCGCGGGTTCAAATCCCACTGTGGGACGTGGAGACCGGTCCTTCGGATGAGATCGTATAAACCGAGGTCCCGTGTCGCAGTAGGTGCTGGCACGAAAAAGATCCCTCACTGCTCAATGGCCGTATGTGCCAAGTATAGGACAAAATTTGCAAATCTCCACCGGCAAGTGGTGGCGTCTCCATATGAGTGAAAAAATCTCGAGAGGGACGTTAAACAACATACAAACAAACAAACAAAACTAACAATGATCGGGAGACGTCAAGGTATTTGTGATTTCTTTCGAATTTGTTCTCTACGAAAAATAAATGGAGTTAAAATTAGAGAGAGAAAAATGGGGAAACAATAAAGATTGCAGACACTTTTCTAATGTTATGATAAAGTAGACAAAAGGAACAAAATTTTTAAACTCTTTATAAGAATCAGACCACGAATACCAAATCCTCCATGCGGGATAGGTACACTGAATTATAACCGTACTCATTGAAGAAACAGGTAAAATTGCAACGTATGTTCAACATACGTTAGGATTTTCATATGTTGAACATATGTTAAACACATGTCAAACATATGGTAATCCAAACGTATGTTTAACATATGTTCAACACATATGTTAAACATATGTTTTAAACATATGTTAAACATAATGTTGATCCGAAACATATGTTAAACATACGTTGGGGTTTTCCTATGTTCAACATATGTTTAACATATGTTCAACATATGAAAATCCTAACGTATGTTAAACATACATTAAATAATAAATGCTGGCTTAATGCACTACTTGGCTATTAGCTTGAAATTTGTTTCTTTCCTATAATCAGTGTATTAAATGGAAATTACCATAATCCAGTTTTTGCTTTAATAATTGAAGAACGTCATCCAAGTTCTCCATGTACCATAAAATTTGGTGTTCATGACCTTACTAAAACCCCATACTTCATAATCATAAAGTAAAATGGATTTGACAATTTTTGTTAAATGCATCTAATTAACAATCGATACATAATGTTTGTATATTTTAGGAATGACTCTAATTCTTGGCCAAATTATTCGAGTATAACCTGGTTATACTTGAATAAATTTCGTTGCATTTTATTAGTTCTAATTTGCCGCTCAATAATACAACCGTAGTAACGGAAGTGATGGGAAGCGAGAGGAGGTAAAAACTGATACATAGGCCTAGCAGCTTTGTTGTTTGTTTACATGTGGTAAGATCGAATTATTGTTTGAAGTTAAAGGTACATTTATTAAATCTGGAATTTTCTATGAATCCCTAGGACTGGAAATGAGAGGATTGTATGGATACAGATGATTCAGCTGGTTGTCAGGGGGGGGGGGGGGGGGGGGGGGGGTGTCCCCATACCAAACCAGGTTATACAGAAATAATTTGTGTTCCTTTTTGGATATTAACCAATCAGAGGCTAGAATACAAAATTAAATTATTTGACAATATAACTATACATGGCTTTGTGGCCTTTTCCCAAAGGTTAAATGATCCATTTTTACAAAAAATGACTCCAAGACATGTATAATTGTCAACAATTTTTCTTTATCATTATCTTCAAACCTAAATGAAAAGTCTACAGTTGATCTACCTATGTAGAACATTTACAAGTGAAATTTGTTAAATAAGTATATCCTGTGTTCTTCATTATGTTTAATAGATAATTTACGCTTTGATAAATTTTGTTGCTCAACTCGAGCTGAAGTGATTATATAGGTCATTCTACAATTTCCTCTGTAACAGTCATGGAAAAATGAGCATGGACATTCCAATAGTACAGATGGAACATAGTCATAGTTCAAAGTAAGTTCATGCAATGGACAATCCAGGAAAGGATCAGTGTGATCTAATTCCTGGGCTTTCTGTACACGGACCAACGTCTGCTTGGTACTAAATTCAAACCCCCCAGTGAAGATACCATGACACGTGTCCTGGAAAGACAAAATCAGAAATGTGTTAATCTCAACTGGTCAAAAAATTAAAAAAAAAACAACCTTTTAATCAAACACTAAATCATATTTTCATTATGTATGACTCTGTTAGCAAATAATTAGTAGTATATTTTAGAGTCCTTTAAACATAAATATGTTCAATAAATGAAGACACAAAATATCCTTCACAACTTTGCATTGCCAGCAGTGGTTGAACACTATACTTTATCATTTTGCCTTCTCCATATGCAGTACATATCATTCATGTAATAAATTTAACACTGAATTTTATTTTTCAAAACATGAATGAAAAAGTTCCTTCAGGCATAATGTATTAGACCTCTTGACCAGTTAAAATGTTAACACAGAAATGAACAATGTAGCTCTGAAGCAGTTTCATACAGGTATGTGGAAAGATATTTGCAAATGTAAATATTTAAACTTAAGGTTAGAAATACAACTTACGCCATTGCTGTTCTTGTATCTCACCCAGTCACCACTGTTGATGAGATCCAATGACTGTGTTGTTACACTCTGGCTTTTATGATATGTTGCAGTGTTGTCTAATCCTATTTGACAAGAAATCATTGGGTCATCATTCATAACGGAGTATTTCCTAATATGACCATTGGATTGTCTCTCAAATTTTGAAAGCTCTCCTACTGTTTTTTTGCTGTCTTCTTTTAATCCCAGGAAAGACTTTACAGATGGCTCCGAAGCAGCTTTTAAAATACATTCTGCAGCTTGTGTCCTGTAAAGAGTTTAGACACTGATAAATATAAACTTTACATGTTTGACGTTTCTGTATATGTACAATGTAAGTGAGAAATTACAAACACTCTTCAAATCAGAATAAGTTTCTACCAAGTGTCATTTTCTTTAAAGTAACCACCAGTGATGACATGAGAACAAAGAATGTGCTGTGCATATTTCGCAGCAGTATCCCGACTGCGGGCTTTTTGATTTTGTAGAAAAATCTGATCCCTAATTCTGCCATGATTTTTTTCAAATGCTTCTTCATCATAAGAAGGTAATGGCCCATGCCTATGGATATCATCAATCTGTTTAAAAAAAAAAAAATACATAACAACTAGATACATCCTGTTAGCAAGCTACTTGTGAGTCTTCAATTCTAATTTTGATTACAATAATAAAGATGTTTAATAGAGTGTTGATGCCATCATCCTTAATCTAAACTTTGTCATGTATAAAAATATTATCAGATGGTTTAAAAAAATACCATTTAAAGTAAAATATATCACTGAAGAATAATTACAGCATGAAGTAGGAGATGAGTCTTGGCTTTCCTAGCAAAGGATGGTAAAAATTCTGTGATCATTCGATGGTACGCTGCAATATTTTCCGTCATGTTCTTGATACTTTGCTCATCTGTTTTCTTCATGTAAAGTTGCTTTTGTATCTGTTGATTTTTAATCAGAAATTTTAATAAACAAAGATGTTTGTAACAAAGTACAAATAATGGTCATTTTAAAAATTTTAACATTCGATAATCTATAGATGTAAGATTCACTTTTACTTACAAGGGCCAAACAGCAGGTAAGCTTGATAAAAATTTGATCCACCTTGGCAAAGAGCAAATTAAAGGGAGCCACTTGCAGCTAAAAAATTAAGATGCATAAAGAATATATATATATGCAAAATTTTTAGTGACATAACAAAACCACTATTAGCATTTACAAGTCATGTAGACTCACCAAAAATTTTGAACATATACTTCAGCTACTGACATTTTCTTGCATGGACTTACATAACTTTTGAAGTCTCTTCCTTGTCGACTTCCAATATGTTGAAAAAACTCAGGTCCTTTGGAAGGTTGAAGTGTTTCTAAATGGCAACCCATTTTCTTAAGTTTCTCTTGATCTACTTGTTCCACAATGTATGTCACAAGATGTTTGGTCAAACCAAGGGGAACAAGATGTAATAATCCCACTGGTATGTCTCTGCATGATAAAGTAGAACATGTGAATGAAATAAACATTCAGAGAGCACTGCTTATGTCTGCAACTGGCACCACCAGTTTCTTAAAGGAACATTCTTTTATGTTGAAAAAAGGTTTAAGAAAATAATAAAAAAGTTATTTGAACAATTGGAGTTCTCCTTACTATCTGTTGATCAATCATTACAAAACTCAAACCTGATCTTTGGTTTTCCATTATAAAGATACACAGCAAATTTTGAATCAATTCTCCAAACAATAAAAAAAAATGTTGGTACAGACTGACCAATAGATAGAAAGACAGCAATTAAGGCTATATATAGTCCCTGTGGTTTCACTGGGGGAGGACTATAGTCCCTCCAATTTCACTGAAAGGGGACTACAGCTCCTCCAGTTTCACTGGAAGGGATTATATATAAACAGGGAATTTATCTATGTGTATGGATATAAAGCAAAAATACAATGTATCATTATACCTCATTATAATTATTCTATACAATGCGTTATCTAATTGGTTCTAGATTATCACATGACAAGGCCATAAAACTTCATATTTCCCTGTCCTGTCATGATTTTCATCATATTCAACCTCTTCGGAGACCTGGTGCATTTTCCCGCAATAGTAATCGTTCGTTGAACGAAAACTCCCGAGAGTAGTTAAGACGTCACAATAGCCTGGTTCACTTCACAAAATTGATGATGGACTTCTGTAAATTGTTTCAGTAGCTCTACGTTAAAATTGAAAGTGAATTTAAGAGCGGTGCTGAATTTGAAAGTTTTTGTTTATTTTTAAAGTTTTTGCTTGTTTCGGTATAATAAACAATTTATTGCATGAGTGTTTGGGAAACATGAAGATTTATTCTGCCAAGAAATATATTCCCCTCGGGAAATATGATTTTACTTGACTGAATAAATCTTCATGTTTCCCTCACGATCATGCAATATATGTATAATATTAATTATACTCTGGTAAAAGTTAGAATTTAATATGTACCTGTGTGGGTCAATAACATCCCATAAACAATTGAAGTGTTCCTTGACACCTGTTTCTTTGCGTAGCATGGCTTTATCCACTTCTTTAGACCTCAGATGTAATCTGTTAATTGTTCGAAGTGTTTCCTTTGGTTTTCTAGAATGTATAACCTGATCAAATGTCCCAGAGGATGACTGAAAAAAAAAAGAACTTGGAAATAATTCTTTTCCTTGTAAATAAATCTCAACGAGACTCTTAAGGTTTTTGTTGGAAAACCAGATTTAGATTGAGGAATGAGAAACTGTAATCTCAATTGAAATGATGCAGTGTATAGAGCAGCCTTTTACAGTCAATGATAAGTTAAATAGACTTATCAATCAAGGTCCATGTGCATCAACGTAGTTGGGGGGTTGGGGGGGTTATGATTTGAACTTAATTGTGGCCCCACCCTACCCTTGGGGGTCATGATTTGAACAAACTTGAATCTATACTACTTGAGGATATGTCCAATCATGCCTTTGCTGTTCTTGAGAAGATGATTTTTAAAGATTTTTTCCTTTGTGTTCCTATGTAAAACTTTGATCACCTATTGTGCCACCACCCTACCCCTGGGGTCATGATTTGAATAAATTTGAATCTACGCTACATGAGGATGCCTGCATATAAAAATGACTAATCATATGGCTTTGCTGTTCTGAAGAGGAAAATTTTAAAGATTTTTCCTATGCATTCCTATGTAAAACTTTGATCACCCATTTATCAGTTAATCAATAATCAGTGAGATGTCAGAAATTTGACCTATTAATGACAAATTTATAGTGAATATTTTTGCTAGTTAATATGTTCATATGAGGAAAGATATTTGCAAATATAAATACAATTTATATTGTAACATAACCCACATGAAATGAAATGATTCACATATTTAAGTTGATATTTGACTTGGAAAAATCTTTACTCACAAGGCATCTTGGACAATATTTGTCTGCAGATGCACCAAGATGGTTGCAGCAGTGTGAAAGCATGTTATAATCTGCAACAATAACATCCAGAGGACACTTTATCATACATTCTTCTTGGTTGAGGGCATCAAAAGAAATTACACCATGTCTGAAATGAAAGGGAAGTATTGACAAACACAGTAAATTTTTCTTAGCGTTTTCATTAAACATAGTAAAGATTAGAAATAATTATAACCTTTGACATTGTTTTATATCGGCAATAGCTATTTCCACCAATTTCAGTATTTCTACTTTCTCTGATGCTCCAACAAAATGTACATGTCTTTCTTTGTGCCGTTCATCAACTGGAATTCCTGTAAATATACATCCAAAGAACCTAGGGTATGGATTTTTACTTCTATCCTCTTTTTCTTTATTTTAATCTTGCAGAGATGTATGAATTCCCTGACTATAGATTGCCAATTTCTTATACCTCTACATAAACCAAAATATGAATGAAATGTAGACAAGGTTTATCAAGCAAAGACAGTGTAACAATTATGATATTCCATGGGTTATATAGTTTCAAATTCTTTTTCCCTATTATAATATTCTGACTTTTACAACCAAATCACTGTACAGTAAAACACACTTATAATGAAGTGCCAGGGGACAGACAATTCGTAACAAACGTCCCAGTAATTATATAGTTAAGTTCATAATACTATTCAAAAGCAAGGGGAATGAAAATCACTTCACTATAAGCATAAATTCACTTTAAGCAAGTTCACTATAAGTATGTTTTACTCTGCAAGAAATTAAATAACCAGTACCTGATAGTTGCAACTGTATACAATGTAATGCCAGCCATTTCTTTGATCTATGAGTTGACGTGTCATCCAAAAATAGGTTTACGGGAACAGTCAAAATTGGCATATTCATACTTGAGTACAGATTAAAGTGCTGAAAAATATCATTTTGCTTGTTACATAATAATCCCAAACTCAAACACAGGTTCAACTAACAACATGGAGAAATCTTGTATTAAGCTATTCAAACTTGCATAGAAACCTTTAATATACCATTTATAAAATAAAATATATTCAAACTTAAAATTTATTTACGACATGAATGCAAAAAGGATTTTAAATTATACGCTTCTTACATTCTGGTTGATAGGTCCAGAAACCACCTCTGAACTTTCTTTTGTGTAGTATGATTCATTTTCATAAGTTTTTCTGTGTTTTAAGCTTTGTAACTTTTTACAATGCTTTCTATCACTTGATATAAGAAATGCTCTATTGAGAAAAAAAAATAATAGTCAGAATATTTATAAATCTAAATTTAGGTACTTTTAGTTTAATCTACTGTACAGTAAAGCAATACTTTATTGGTTGAAAAATACATGTATCATCTAAATTAAATTACATAGCTTGCCTACATCTCAGTATAAAGTTCATGCAGAACTTATTACTCAGCTTCACGTCCCATTCAAAATTTTTATAATCATCATTTTATTGATTTTTTTTTAATTATGAATTTTATAGTACAAAAATAAATTTTAAGGAATGAATTCTAGTTTTTTTCACTTTTGTTATACAAGCATAGCATATTTTAAAAAGTTTGTGCTTTTTTTTAAAAATTACGTTGTAAAAATTCAATTAATATTAAATCAGACTTACTTTTCACTTTGGCAGCATGGAGGTTTTAGTAGCATGGGCTCTACACTTGAAATAACAGCTTCTTTTACATTTTCCTGATAATTAGAACATGGACAATATATAAAATAAAATGTAAATGTGAATGTATTTGCACAAAGAATGTCAAAGTTTTAATTTTCGTTAAGTATGATGTGTTAATTTTCACAGTCTTCGCTTTGATTTTATTTGAAGTTTAGTATGAGACTGTTTACCTTGACATTCTCTACAAAGCTTTCAATAATTCCCATCTGCTTAGTTTCATCTGATTCAAATATGCACACCTCATTTTTAAAAAAAGCTGTGTTTTCATCTGCAGCATAACAGAATTCTAAATCACTTATCCACTTCTCTCCATATGCAGGATGACTTTTTTCTCCTAATGAATCTACTCTGGGATACCTATTATATATACATATTACATTAAGTTGTAGATGTGAAGAATATGAATTGATCAAAATATAGACCTTGACTTTTGGTCATCACAAGAGTGACAACATGCATGAAGTATATTTAAAACAAATGCAAATCAATCACCTTGTTACAGACTTTGTAATTATACTCATTTCACTACATTGGCTAGTTTACTCATTATATATCAAGAAATTTATTTACACTTACCTGATGATTGTTTTGGAAACATTAGGGTGAGCAACTGCCATCTTTACTATTGCTGATGGTTTAATAGCCCACATTGGAGTACTGTCATCATCATGGCTCTATACAAAATATAAAATTATAAGTGATACAAATTCACTGATAAAGAGAGAGAGAGAGAGAGAGAGAGAGAGAGAGAGAGAGAGAGAGAGAGAGAGAGAGAGATACATGTACACCATTAACACTAATTGTCCAGGATAGACAGTGTATTAAAATAGATATCCTCTATTTTTCTATTTCATCATGCAATACTTCAATAAATTGAATATTTACTTTAATTAGGAACTCATTCCAATCAAAGGAACCAAAGCATTTCCTTTTGATTGAAGAAAAGGGAGGAACATCCTCTACTCCACACTGTTTTAAGATGAAAACAACATATTTAACTACTTCATCACTCTGAAAAAGAATAATAAAAAGTGTAAGAATTTGTACAGATATGTGCCAAAAGTGAAGATAATTTTATTTTTTCCTTATATATTTCATTGAAAACAATATTTTGTAAAAATCACTTGAATGACAACATTTCTTGCCAGATTTTTTACCACAAATTTCTTGGTAATCCAAGAAATTGTTATATTTGATAAAAACATTATGCTGATCAGAAAAAAAACATTAGTTTTTATCTGATCAGCATCAATACTTAAAAAATATTGTAATTTAAGCATGTTAAGTGCGACATGAAAATTTAATTCATATACGCACAATGAATTATATAGTCAAAATTGATCTTGAATTTTAGAACTGATGTAAGCATGGTAAGTGATGAACTATCTTTTTCTAAAAACGAAATATGTAATGATCTCTTAGAAAAAGATAACTACACATTTTATGATTGAAGTACTGAAATAAATAATGAAATTAGACAAAAATTGACCATTTGTCAGCAATTAAACTATATGTGGTTTTCAATAAAATATATAGAGGACAAATAAAATTACCTTCACTTTTGGCACAGATCTGTAGATCAATATGAAGCATGCATTATTTTTGGACAAATATATATGTATTTTGAGTTTGAAAATTTTATGCTAGACTTCAGATGTAATATAATGTTTAAAAATATATATCAAGTAGGTCTAATTATGAAAATCTGACTGAACAAAATAATCCAATAATAAATTGGGACTAAACATGTTATACATGTATGCTAGCTACTATTAAAATTGCTGGATCAGTCATTAATCATTGTAGAAAATGAGATATTCTGGAGAGAGAGAGAGAGAGAGATTTCATTTGTAGTTGAAAATTCTGTAGAACACTATATATATTTTCTTTCTTTTTTTTTTGACTTGGCCTAGACATGGTTTTACTTACCACTGGATGTGTGGTAGAATTCATGAGAACATACAGATAAAAATCTGCTTTGGATAAAAACGGAAACCATTCTGACTTTTGTTCGTGATCAAAATTAGTTTTTTCCTCAGCGGACACATATTGATTACATTTCGATGGCTGGTCATCTCGAAACGTCACATGTTCAGTATAATTTGTCGGCTCATCGAAAACGATGTCTTCTTGAGAATCTTCCGTGGATATTGGAATATTTTCACACGAATCGCTTTTTGCATCGGAATAAAAATGTAAGATATTCTGATGAGATACAGACTGAAGATGTCTAAGATAATTTCCACGGTGACCACTCGAGTAATCACATAAACTGCACAGGTACTTTGCATTTGTTAAATTCGCCGCCATCTCAAATAGCGTAAACAAAACTCCTCGGATATCTCGCAAACAAGTGTTGGATTTATCCGATGAGTTCCGATTTATCTAAAATGTAAACAATGAGAACCGAAAGGTAACACTTTGTAACATCCGGCCAAAAAGTTACAAACTTGGAGTTTTATTGCTTAGCTTTTCTTTTTTTATTCGGTGTTTTCATCAATTTGTGTTAATTTCATTTTACAATCGATCGGAATTTGACCAAATAGTTATTTTTTTTAAAAAGTTTTCTACAACAAAATGCAGTTTACAAAATTCCCTTCGGTTCTTTGATGACGCAGACGGTGTCGTATGGTATCGTTGCAGGATGGAGGTAGGTTAAAGTTCTATACTCTATCCCCCCTTTTTATTGACTTACATTCACAATAAGTGAAAAAGATACATTTATGATAGATAAATTGATGAGAAAACTGTCTTTTTAACGCAAAAAAAACTTTTTAGAGAAGCAAGATTTAAAGTATATTGAAAAATAATAAGAAATTCAATGCCCTGAAAATTCTCTTGAAAGAAATTGAAACAATTTTTTATTTTTAAATGAATTTGCATGGCCACCAATTTTTATTTTAGAATAAATATTTTTGGAAAGACAACACGCTTACATTGACAGTATAAACATATATCAAGTCATGTAATAATTACATCTATCTTTTCAATTTTTTTTAAAGATTAAATTTAAAATCAATGAATAAGATGATACATACAAAAAGTTAAATATGAAAACTTTTAAAGACTTAAATGCACAGAAATATTGTTCTTCAGTAGTTTAGGGATGTAAAAAAACCAAAAAAAAAAAATAAATAAATAAATAAATAATTGCTAAATCGTTGCTTTTTGTATATTCCCTCCCCCCCCCCCCTTCTTCATCTCTCAGTCTCTATGTATTCCATATTAAACTTACATTTATAATTCAATTTTAGGAACTCAGTCAAGACTCGCAGATAACACAAGTATCCGAAAGTCAGGATCTTTTCCAAGGCTATGGTGCACAGAACGATGATTTAGGGAGAGGACAACAGAATGACTTAAAAGAAATATGCAAGTACATTTTTATAGCATTGTTACAAATTATAAACTAAAAAAAAGTTGAGTCAATATATATAATATATTAGATATATTTTTATTCTTTGTACGACAGTCACATTTATATAGTTATCATAATTTTCAAACATTAAATTACAGTGAAGGAATTAAAGTCTCTACGATCAGAAGTTGCAGAACTTAAAGAGATGTTATCGAGTACTGTCCAACAGAGACCATTCCATATGGCATCATGTTCATTCAAAGTAATAATACCACCCCCCCCCCCCCACACACAAAGTTGGGTTTAATACATTCAGGTGTTAATGCCCATAACAGTTATTTATAATTAAATTATTATGGATAATTCTTAAATTCATTGATATGAATTTAATAGAGAAATTCTAAATATTTTGTGAACATTCCCATCGAATATCTTATCTAAAAATTCTGTGTTTACAGGAGAAGTTGCATCTATTTCTGAGACATTTGTTTACAAAAAACATGTGGCTTGATCTCCAGAATGAAGAATACCAGGTGAGAGAAACTACATTTAGACATCAAAATAATTGCATTACAAGAAAATTGAAAGACGATTGTTTAGTACATAAACTAGTAATAATAATATTAATTATAATAATTATTTTCCATTCTATATAAGTCTGAAGTGAAGAAATGCTTACAGAGGGATGGCAGATCCTCGGATATTGATGCATTGAAAAAAGTCAACTCGTTTTCTATGCTGAAATTCACAGAATTCAGAAACCAATTCAGAAGGAGTGTAAGTTTCTATAAATAAAAACTTTATTCCAATGCAATTAGACAAGAGTACATTTTTGTTGTTCTGCATTCCTTACATGCTCCTTATCAGTAAGGAATTGTGAAGCTCTTGGAAAATTAGATATTTAATTATCAGATCGATGACAAAATGGAACTTAATTTTGATCGGTAGATATTGCTGACATACATCAACTATATTTTCACAAATATAACATTCAGTGTTCTCTTTAGAAGATGAAGTTTTCAGTTCACTTTTCTTAAAGAAAAAAATTGAGATATCATTCCTTCATTATAAAAGTACTAGAATTCAACAAAGGATTAAAAATTGATTCAAACTGGCATAACTTTAACAATGGGGGTTATCGTGCGTAATAATTAACCTCAAAATTTTTACTTCATTCATACTCTCATATGTATAATACATGTAATGTATAATGATTACAGCTTGTGCAGAAGAGAAAAGTGGACCTTAGAAGTTTGAAATTGGCAGAGTTCTGTAGAGTAGTTTTCAGTCCATTCTGCAGATCAGGGGAGGACATTTGCTCCACTGAGAGACGCCGAAATGCCCTGCTGTTTGTAAGTACATGTATAAAGATAAGTACTGGTATCCTTTACAAAATTTAAATTCTTGTTACTCAAAATTTGTACGTGATTGTCATGTAAAGATTTTGAAAAACAAGAATTATTCATCACAGCATCAAAACTCGCATGATGCAGCATTTTTTCCATCTTAAATATTTGGTAAATTTATTGGTATGCATGCAGATTGTTTTATAATACACTAGTTATCTACACAATATAGACCATTGGTGATTTCCGTTTCATATCAACACTTTCAGAGAACTTTCTTGTATAGACAAAAAATATTTGTCTATACAAACCAGAATCAGACCCAGAACCAGACCCAGCAAGAAAGCCATTTCTGGAATGATTTCAAAACATACATTCAAGAGCATCGCAGCCAAACTGAGGATAAATGGTTAAAGATGGAGGAGCTTGATGGAAGAAGAAGAAACAAGTTCCTCAACAGTCAAGGTTTGGTTTTTCCTGATACAAATAGATATTTATGAGTTACTCTGGAATGTCACAGTACAATTCATTACTTCATATTTTACCGGTATTTCAAAAATAAAGCAAGATTTTATTAAAAATGCATAATTACACAATGCTAATTTCAAAATATATAAATACATTTTTATTGATTTTAGATGCTGCCAACTCTACACTCATTAGTTAATGACAGATGAAAAAATGTAGCAAAAATGTAGAATAATAAATAAGACTTGATAACAATTTGTGTTCTGTTATCATTTAAATCATTTACACAAAAGATATAATTGTTGAAGTACACATGTCAAACTTGGTGCCCTGCACATTATTAGCAAAAGATGAAGAGATGAAATATTTTAACGGGTAAAAAAAAAACATTTCCCAGGAAAGAAGAGGAAATAAATGCAACAATGTATTACAATCCAGAAACCGTAGTACGTGGTATAACATATGTTCAACATGTGTATTATGAAACACATGTTCATTCATGGTGATAAAAACATATGTTAAACATATGTTAAACATACGTTTTACATATGTTTTCAAACATATGTTAAGCATATGTTGTTCGTTTTTCATGTTTAACGTATGTTTCAAAACATATGTAAAACGTATGTTTAACATATGTTTAACATACGTTGCAATTTTACCTGTATATCATGTCTACACATACTAAATAATGACAAAAATAGGATATGTTTGATGTTTTAACAAGTGTATGTTTCATCTGTTCATGTAAAATTTATGCAAAACTTTGTTTTCCCCATAACTAGGCATCACGAAAATAACATATAGATCTAACTGCACCTATATCAGCTGTATATTAGATAGTGTTGTACCGATAATCAGAAAACATCGATTGTCGACGAAAAAATGTTACCGATTCCGATGATCGATTATAATTTTTCATAATCGATCATCGGAAACATACTTCTAATACAATACATTCCGGAATTCTCCATTTCTGGTTTAAAATTTATTTCTCCTTAATGAAAGAAAATGGCGTCTGCATCTGATACTAGCCAACTAGCACGAAGCAGAGGTGATTAAGAACCAAATGGTGCATATATAGGGTCTAAAAAAATTATGTTTGTTTACTGTAACCCGACCGACCCATTCAGTTTACCCCCAGGTGGATTTTTTTTCTGCCAAATCTGTATTTGCTCTTTGGTTTGATCAATCAGCTGAATCTTTTCATTCAAAAAATATTAATTGTATCTTTCATTTGAGATATAAAATATGCAACTTAGTCAACATTTACCTTCGATATAAAGAGTAATCGATTCCCCCCACAACTTTTTGAAGTTCCTTTTCTGCCGCTAGGCAGCCATGGTGATTGTCCATTGTAAAAATAACACCTGGATAATTCAGTCCCGGTGTCATATAATATATTGAACCCCACGATATTTTGAACCCAGGTTCAAAATATCGCTGCGAAATATTGAACCCCCCTATAAAATATTGATCCTGGGGTTCAAAATATTATGGCCATAATATTTTGAACCCAGGGTTCAATATATTATAGTTTTATGGCCATAATATTTTGAACCCAGGGTTCAATATATTATAGCCTTAGGGCCATAATATTTTGAACCCTGGGTTCAATATATTATAGCCTTGTGGCCATAATATTTTGAACCCCATTACAGACATTCTCTGTTTAAAGCATAGAGGTTCATAAGATTATGGCCTTGAAATTTTGTACTTCCTAATTTAATTTTTTTTTTTTTGGTAGAGTGGGGTGGAGGTTTAAGATAGGATTTATGGCTGTAAAATGTTGTCCCCCCTACTAGACATATATGTGTTTAGGATGTTGTTTAAAAATTATTGACCTAAAAATAATTTTTGAATGGTAAGAGGGGGTTCAAGATATGACAGTGAAATGTTCAACCCCACAACATTTTAAAAAGGATAGAAAATATTTGGCTGAGAAGTATTGAACCTCCATTTAAAGACTACTTTGGAAAGTGAAAGTATCTAACACCCATCTCACACACACTAACTTTGATTTAATTGTTAGATCTCAAGGGTTGGGTATCTTTATATTAAAATTGTATTTTTTTTTAAATCTGTGCAATACCTAAAGAAATGAGAGTAAAATAATGTAATCAAAATTTTGAAGTCTGAAATTGCCATCAATATTTTATGGTCATAATATCTTGATCCCCCTCCCTCTTAGATTAAAAGTGTAGGGGGACTCAATATTTTATGGTCATAATATCTTGAACACCCTCCCTCTTAGATTAAAAGGATAGGGGGACTCAATATTTTATGGTCATAATATCTTGAACACCCTCCCTCTTAGATTAAAAGGATAGGGGGACTCAATATTTTATGGTCATAATATCTTGAACCCCATCCCTCTTAAATTTAAGGGTACAGGGACTCAATATTTTTTGGTCATAATACCTTGAACCCCTCCCTCTTAAATTTAAGGGAAAGGGAACTCAATATTTTATGAACATAATATCTTGAACCCCCTCCCTCTTAAATTAAAAGAGTAGGGGACTCAATATATTATAACCATAATATGCTGAACCCACCGGGTTCAATATTTTATAAGGGGGTTCGTTATATCGCAGCAAAAAATGAACCCGGGTTCAAAATATTATGCGATATATTGAACCCAGGTTTATTATATCATGGCATCAAAATATTATGCTACACCGGGATGTTTGACTCCATTATTCATAAGCAAAAAAAAAAAAAAAATTCCCGACCTACCGACCCTTGATTTTTTGGGAATGTTGCAGGAAACAATCAAACATAATTTTTTTGTATACAAAACTATGAAATTCGATTATAATCATTAAAATCGCATCAGAAGCAGTAACCGATTCCAACCGATGATCGATTATGAAAATTAACCGATGTCCCATCACTAATATTAGATTTTACTTTTGGCGTAAATCTAAATAAGAACTTCAAGATATGACAAGACCATAAACCAAGAACAGACAAGTCAAAATTTAGATCTAGAATATGTTGACTTTCATTCATCAAATAAGTTAAAATTGTCTTATTATATTCAATTTTAAATGTATGATAAAAATTTGTTTTATATTTATTATTAAAGTTATTCCTGCTTGAAATGTTCAGTTCATCATTTGTTTGTATGTGAATATTTTACAAACATGCAACATTTTCCATCATGTTTGCTAAATAAAAATCAAGATATTCAAAATGTTAAAATTTCTTAATTCGCTTCAGTGTTCTCAATTTATGGTCAGTTCAGTGCCGTACAAGTGTATCTTAATTAAAAAAAATATTTGTGTGAGAATTTAATCAATTAATGTTTACAGAAAACATTTTCCTAAATCTTCATAGTCAGACAGGTTGACAGCAATAATTATTGTAGTCAGCTCACACATATTCCTTAGATCTTATAAAACATGCATAAGAATCCACAGTTGTTACAGTATTTTTAACCCAAATTTAAGTAAATCTTGTATTTTGTCTTGACATTTGATCTTGAATGTTATTCAGTGTCTAAATGAGGAATAAAAATAATTGACCAAGTTCACAATATTTATTCAGGGTAATTCCTTTTTTCAGTGAATATAAATATAATTATATATATTGGACCAAATGCATATTATCTACAATTTATATCTACAATGTATAACAATTGAATGTTCCATTATCATGAGACAAATTCATTAAAAGTGTCCATGTAAAGTATACATGTATTTCAATGCCAAGCTCAAAGATACATGTACATGTAGTTTGTTTAAATTGAAGTTTATCAATGTCTTATTACAATTGTATGTTTTACATGCATATTATTTGGCCTGCTTGTCCGTCGCTCAAATTGAATTTCAAATGTCAAAGTAGTTGTCAGAGAGATGGTCATAAAGTAACCGAACAGTTTCACAAATGTCATCAATGCACAGAAAACAAATACTTCACACACTGATCTCCTTAATAAAGAACACCATCATTCCAGACTCTAGGAGGCTCTTGGACACTGGTTTGAAAATCTTTCATTATTTATTCCAGCAGCAGATGAGATGAAGTGCAATTTGTACAGTTGCAAATTTGCAGGATTGTCCTGAAGCAAAAAACACACACCATTATGTGCATGTAGATTGTAAATTTTGTCATATACATTATGCATTAAAACTGTATTTGATTGTGATTATCTTTCTCATTTCATGTACAATTGTCTGAATTTCACCTTTTTCTCTCCCAGAGTAATGCATTAATTTTAAAGAAATCAAGCAAAATCAAATCTTATATTGCAACTTCATAGTCATAACTCATATCTTAATTAAACAATCATAATTTACATAATTTACTTGTAGATTATAATTCATTTCATCTCGTCGTCTTGCTAACTAGTATGATTATATGTTTGGATGTTTTTTTCTCTCTCTATTTTCTACTTGTATTAATCTATTTAATATCTTGTTAATTAATTTCTTTTCATTTTTTGCTTGAAATTTGAATATTAAAAAAAATGAAAATACATATAACATGACCATGATGACCAGAACAATTATACATTAATTTCAGTTTTACTCTCAACATTTTAAAAAGAAGAAAACCACTTATTCATAAAATCTGCAGACACTTCATCCCAACTTAGATAATGATTTTGATGTATTTTAATGAAACATGCATAAACACAAAATAAATAATCTAATCATACGTACTTCTAAATGTAAAATCTTTTATATTGTGATGACTAATGAGGGCAGGCAAAATTGGGTACCATTCTCTGAAATGAAGAAGATAATAAATGATTAATTTATGTTACACATTTTATGCTTAACTCACAATAGGTCATACATACAATGTACATGCAAGTGCTGAGTGGGCTTATTATACAAAGTAGCATAAGAAATGATCATGATGATTCTGCATTTAATTATTTTAAATTGCAATCAGATAAGAAAAAATATTTTTTAACCACAGTAGGGAAATGAGTATATAGCAATAACAAACTGAAAAAGGTATAATACATCTGATCATGTGACAAAGTATTTGTAAATATTTAACCCCCTACCCCTCCCCTTTCTACACAACCTCTTTTTTCCACATCCGATTTCTGTGTATATTACAATAGAGTAAATTTTTAATAGTTCAAGTCATTAAAACATTGCTTAAAGGGAGAGATATGTATAAACATGCACACATTTACAGTGTTTAGTATACTTACATGGTCTTGCACCAAACAACTGCGATTATGATCTGTTATAGTCCATCGCTGACGGTTCAAGTGGAATTATCCAGACAAACAG